TCACCATGTCGTGTGACAATAATACGAAGAGAGTAAGCTGTGTGGCATATATCTATTGTCAGAATACCACATTGGAAATTAACTTTAAAAAAATAATCAGGTTATAGCCTGAAATAGATAATCATCTTCTAATACTCCACAGTGGATCCAGATATTAGAAGGCAATTTGTACTTTCCATTTTCTTTCCTCCTGGCGTAACAAAACTGTCATTTTATAACTGTGTATCATGTTATACTTGCCTCAGTTTCTCTAATGCATCCTTTCCAAGTTTCTGCTATGTAGCAAGCAGATTTATCATTCCCATTATCCAGGTCACTGAGAGTGAATACAGACCTGTTTGCAAGCTGATGAAGGTATTTCAGGGGACACCAATTCTCCAGTAACACTCATGCTTCTCTAGCTGGGCTTGAGGTGTGAGATTTAAAAGCCCCCCTCCTCAGCAAGGGCTGCAGGATTCTGCTTTATTTTTACATCGGGCTTTGCATTGGGCAGGTATTTCAATGACTTTCTCTATACTTGGGAATGATCACCTCCTCTCTTCCTTGATTGGCAAAACTTTGGTGCAAAGGTCTGGGGTTTCTAGGCTATGAGGAATCAGGAATATGCTTTTCCTGGCTATTTCTTAGCAACCCAGAGACACTGGTAACCAGAGTGCATCTGTGTGAACTTTGCTATTTCACAGAAAGGAGGATCTTTACTTCTCTCTCAGCATGTCGGAGTTGTCAGGTGATAAGAAATATTGTCATCTCCCTGTCATCCTGGCAAACGGAAACTACAAGATTTGAACGTGAAAGAGCTTTAAGAAATGTTTTATTGCAATGTTATTTTTTTTCCACCTGAAGCCGACTGATCCCACGCCACAGAAATGCAATTATCGGTGTGTTACAAGTTGCTCTTCTTATCTTCATTGTGAGCACGTCACTCGGTTCAGCTCCCTTAATGCCCCTCATGGCAAAGTATAACATTAAATGTTGATCTCTTCATTATGATTTCCAAGAAAAGAACTAGCGTGGCCGCCAAGATTCTTTGTGAAGCTGGCTTGGCACACACATGCTGTGTGACTAATTTGCTTCATTTCTAGCCAGGAACCTCAACAAAGACGGACACTTTGCTTGAGATGATTCTTTGTTGGGCGGGGGGGTCTCACGTGTGCCTTACGGGTGTTTAAGTAGTATTCCTGAGACACCAGTGGCAACTTTGAGGCAACTCTGTGACAAAAAGCCTCCCAATACTGTTCTGGGTACAAAAAAATCACCTTTTTGTTTAAAAAAGAAAACATGGTCTTTATCAGTTGCTAATACCTGTAATCCCTGCTACTGAAGGGACTTAGATGAAATGATTGTGGTTCCAAGCAAGCCCAGGTAGACGAATCCAAGAGAGTCTGATTTTCAGCTAACCAATACAGAGCTGGAAGTGCAGGTGTGGTTCAAGTGGTAGAGTACCACCTTGAGTGAAAAGGCTGAGTGAGAATGCAAGGCCCCGAGTTCAAGCCTCACTATCAGCAGGTGCACAAAAAAGAACCCATCTTAACCCTTGGTCTCAACTGTGTAGCTTCCCCTGTGAAAGTGGGGAACTACTGTTTTTTGTTTGTAGGGATTTTGGGGGGGTTGTGGGGAGGCTCAGTACTGGAGTTTAAACTCAAAGCCTTGTGCTTGCTAGGCAGGTCTCTTATCATCATGCCTCTGATGCCTCCAGTCTTCTTCGCATGGTTATTTCTAAGACAGGGTCTCCTCTTTAGGCCCATTTGGGTCTAGAATATGAGCCTCCTGTGTGTACTTCTCTTGGTTGCTAGGAGAACAGGAGACAGCTCTATGCCCAGCCATTCTGCTCCCTCCATAATTGAAGATGACACATGTGCACCACTGACCCACTCCTGGAGTCTCATCAACTCCCCTACATCTCAGGCTGGCCTGAACCCCCATACTTCATCTCTACCCTCTAAGTACCCAGGATTACAGGCTTGAGCTGCCCTGTCTGAGTAGAGCTAGTTTGTTTCAGATGAAATGATGCATCTGAAAGAGTGATCATCTATGTGCACCTAAGGTACTATATTATTCCATAGAGCTGTTGATTCCTGCAATGCATTGGGGATCTCTTTATGGCACTTGGCAGGTCTCAGCTGGCAGAACACGATGAGGGCATTTAGGAGAAATTTATCCTGCTCGCAACGGAAAACCCAGAAGTTAAGCACTTCAAAACACATTTATATGTTTTTAAAACCTGTGCTTGAGTGCCAAATGGGAAGTCAATCCACCCTCCTATTGTAGTCATTTGTTGTAACTTTGAAAGTCCTCAGAAAAGAAGACAATGAGAGTGGGCTTAATTCTACTAGAATAATCAATATCCATTAAGATTCGATATTCATATCAAGTTTATTTGCCTTGCAAGTGCGCATCTGGAGAAAGCGTATGCTGTAGCCACTACCTCAGAAGCAAAGGGCTTCTAAATGTTCTCCTCCAAAGACAAGGTTCTGCAGAAGGCAAGCATGCTTGGCAGGCACCTTTGGAGAAATCAGCTTAGAGGAAAGATATCTAAGTTGTTCTCTTCAATATAAAAACCTATTACTTGGTACAGCTAATTGAATTGACTCAGAGCCCACCAGGAATAAATGGCACACTGCAGACAGAACTGGACTGTTCCTGTTCTGGGCAAAACGTAGGGCATACCAAACCTAGATCTTTCTATAGTCTGCTGAGATCTATAACTTCAAGTGCTGTTGGGGATTGTTAGAAGTTTCAAGGTTTCCTGGGGGGTTCTGTAGTCATTCATTCTTCAGATGACAAGAACAAAAAATGCTGTGTGCAACAGATCTTTTGCACTCAATTTTGTTCTTTTATTTCTTCCACACAAAAAGAGGAAGGTTAACTGAATGCAATTGTTAGGTGCGATTGTTTCTTTGTGCCAGGCAACTTTTGCATAATGCTAAGCAACCAAGTTCTTACAAAAGATTCAGAGACACAAACAAAATGAGTTCCAAAATGGGGAGAGTTAAAATGAGTATCTTGTTGCTGCTGGTGATGAATCATGTAGAAGGAAGATAGTGTACAGAATTAGAAATTGAGGGCACAGAAGTAAAGGACAGCAACTGGAAAAGGCTGCCTGATTCAGGGTCTAACTGACCCCCCACAAATGGATACTAACAAGAAACCCAAAAGTTTGGAGCAATGACAAAATATCTAGGAACTCAAGAGCTTGTTTTCCTCACCCTTTCCTTCATTTCAATCCTGTGTTAGTCTTCTCCAGAAATATTTACATCCCCAATGTGGCATGCAATATAAATGTACAGTGACATTGCATATTTTAAACCAACTACAGTTTCTTTTGATTGACAGCATTGGAAAAGAAGCAGAATATCATATCGATGCAGTAGAGAGTCTGGTCCTTTAAGTTTTGGTAGATAAAGAAAGGTTCATGGAATAAGAAGAGACATTTTCCTTTTGGGTTTAAACCTGTAATAAAATGTTGCTGACAGACTAATTATAAATGTTTTATATATTTTGTGCAGATGGGTTCCTTGCTAAACCAATTTAATTCCCATTAATGCTAATCTCAGAGAGCAAAGGAACACTCTTAATAAACTATTGATTTATTTAGACCATTGAAATAGGGGGATGTGTGGGAGTTGATAGAAAAGGAAAAACCACCATTTTACCACCACTGTATGTCTTACAATATTTTCCAACTATTAATGAGTATTCAGTAGTTGATGTGAGTGAGGGATGGGAGGAGGGGAGGTGTAAAGTGGCAAGTGACCATGTTCTACCCATAAAAATGAAGGTATTTCAAGTGAGTTGTCAAGTGACAAGGTTTTAGTCCTAGCTGCAGACAAGTACAGTATTACAATCAATGTAGCCATTCTTTCTTCACAAAGAGGTTAAGGAAAAGTAAGGTGCACACTTGCAAACTAATTTATTGGGTTTCTCCTTACTCTATTTGTTGTGTCTATCCTGGGGCTTGAACTCAAGGCCTTGGGCTCTCACTTGGTTTTTTCATTTAAGTTATACACCTCCACTTCCGGCTTTTTGGTGCTTAATTGGAGGTAAGAGTGTCACAGACTTTTCTGTCCTAGCTAGCTTTTAACCACAATCCTCAGATCTCAACTTCCTGAGTAGCTAGGATTACAGATGTGAGCCACCAGCACCCAGTTGGGTTTTTCCTTAAAACACAAGAATAAAATAGTCATATCAACCAACATGTAATATTCCCACATTCTGAGTGTAGCTGTCTACTTTGCTCTCAGCAGAAGAATTCAGTAATTTTCTTTTAAGCTTAAATCAACCATCAGCCTGTTAAATTTCCCGTTCTCAGAGTAAATGGCTAAGAGCCAAGGTAGGCTCTTACAAGACACTATGTCCAGGTCTTAATGGTTTTCTTGAACACAATTATGGAATAAGAACTGGAGCTTAGACATTAGTCACCACCCTGTCTCTTCTCAGATACTGGATTCCGAAGCCCCTATCTTATTTCCCATCTTTCCTTGCAAAAAAGTATGAAATAAAATAGTGGAAGATGGGGGATTTTTGTCCAGGATCCACATCTTGCTTTAAGGTATGTCATGGAACTTCCCTGAGACTGTTATTTCCTCATCTGTGAAATGGAAATAATCATTTTTATGTACTCTGGTAGCATGTGTTAGCATAAGGATCAAAAACAGATCAGAAAGCAGTGTGAAAATGGGTGTGCAAATGTACAGGAGTAACTGGAAAATATGTTTAATTTAACGAAGTGACATGAGTCCAAGGGAAGGAGACATAAGAATAGACATGAGGATTGGATAGCTTGTCAAATAGAAAGAGAACAGAGCAATGTTTACCCTTAAGATTCTATCTGTTGTTTGTTGTTGTTTTGGGCCTATACTGGGTCTTGAACTAAGAATTTAGGTGTCCTCCTTTAACATTTTTGCTCAAGGCTGGCACTTGTGGCCATTCCTCTAATTCTGCCTTTTTTTGGTGGCTAAGTGGAGATAGGAACCACATGACTTTTCCTGCCAGGGCTGGCTTCAAACCTCTATCCTTAGATCTCAGTCTACTGAGCAGGTAGGATTACAGGTGTGAGCCAAGACACCTATTTGGCATTCTAAAATGCTTAATAATACTTATCCTTTATGACAGGGTATATGGAAAATAAAAATAAGAACTGACAGGTGAGCGTATTTAATTGAGTGCAGTTTTCTTGTTGTGTTCATCCCAAATGTGGTGCATTGGTTACACATGAAGATGGAACAGGGGGAGCCTTCATTCTTTGAAGGAAGAAAATACTGAAACAAATATTTCCAGCTCAAACATTACACTGCCTTTTCTGTACCGATTGATAAAAAAATATATTATATTTTAGATTTTTTTTTTTTAAATTATATTTGCTATCCATCCCAGCCAAAGTCCTGGCCGGTCATCTGGTAGAACTTGAGGTTGAAGGGCCGGTAGAAGTCGCGCAGCCTCTTCACCACGCCGGGGTCGATATCGGGGTGGGTCCTGCCTTTGGTCTTGCCCAGGCAGTGCGGCTTGCTGCTGCCCTCTGCCTTCTTGAGGCAGGGGAAGCCCTTGGTCTTGTTGAAGTAGAAATGCTTGTCGGTGATGATGCGCTTGAGGCCCAGGAAGTCCTGCACGCGGCCCAGCTCGCCCGCAGGGTCGCGGATGAGGCGCTCGCCGCTCACGAAGAGCATCTGGCCGAGCGGGAAGTGGCGCAGCCAGTGCTCCAGGTGCTTGGCGTAGATGCCGATCTGGATGGCGCTCCACGACGTGTCGATGAGCCCCGCGCTGCGGTTGCGGAACGTCAGGCTCTCGAAGCTGGGGATGTCGGGCCGCTTGGACAGCGTCTGCGTGTAGTCGGAGATGGCCCTGGTCACCGGGTCGCGCACCACCACGATCAGCTTCGTGTCCTTGGACATGGCCGAGATGCGCGCGGGCGCCTCCCGCGTCACGAAGTAGCTGGGCGTCTTCTCCATGGTGATCTGCCCGTCCAGGGTCCTGGGCATCAGCTCCCTGGAAAGACAGGCAGGAATAACAAGGCTTGTGAGAGTCGGAGGAGGGAGGAGGGCCTGGCCCTGAGGGGCACAGTCTGGTTCTGGGGCACAAAAGATCCAGGACCATGTCCTGCAGGGACATGCTGTGATGGTTACTATTAATATTTAATATAATTAATATAATATTATATAATTAATTATATATTAATTAATATAACTAATTATATTGTTTATATGTTAATTAATATAATATTAATGATATATACTTTTTTCTTTTTTTGGAAGGACTGGGATTTGAACTCAAGTGCTTCTTTGCCTGCATCCTTTGCTCAGCTGGTGCTATACCAGTTGAGCCATGCCTCCAGCTCAGCTTTTTTGCTAGTTATTTTGGAGATGGAATCTCACAGACTTTTCTATCCAGGCTGGCCTTGAAACACCATCTTTTCAATCCAAACCTCCCGCATAGCTACCAGCAGCTTGGAGATTATAGTTAACATAATATCATCATGCACAGTTGTCCTTCCTTAGCTCTGGTTTGACTTTGCCTGGTTTTAGTTACCTACCTTCAACTGTGGTCCAAAACTATTAAAGGGATATTCTAGAAATAAGCCATTTGTAAGTCTAAGATCATGTGCCATTTTGAGTAGATGAATTGTTTCACTATGTCAATTTATCCTGCTCAGTGTCAATCATTTTTCATCCAATGTATTCACATTGTATAATGTTACCCATCTCTTAGTCCTCTCCCCTCCAGTGACTACACTGAATACACTACCTGCCCGTTAAGACAGTGACTTGTCTTCATAATTCCTGAGGGAAGTTTTTGTGTGTGGGACCAACAGAATATTAAATAATCTATCTTTTATTTGATATTTGAAATGCCCTCATTATCATATTATAAATATCTTAGTTCCTTTTTCCACTAGCCTTCTTATAAATTATTATCACACTGCAATTTATTCTTTCTAATTCTGATGATTGATTTGTTTCAATAAACTCTGCAGTTAATTTTTCTTTTGAATTTGTAATAAAATACTTCGTTGAATGAGATTCCCTCTGTTGATATATTCAGTTTTGTCATTTATTCTGTTTGCGTATACATAGTGTCAAATATGAAAATAAATAAAATTGCAAAAATGAATCTTAAGTTCTCACATTCACCTTCAAAATCTCAGGCACTGGTACCTCACACCCTGTCATTGTAGTGATCCAAGGGGCTGTGATCTGAGAATCATGGTTCAAAACCAGCCTGGGCAGGAAAGTCCATAAGACTCTTATCTCCAATTAGCCACCAAAAATCTGTAAGTGGAGGTGTTGCTCAAGTGGTAAAGTGCCAGTCTTGAGCAAGAAAGCTAAGTGAGAATGTGACGGCTGAGTTCAAAATTCATAACTAATGACCAGTTTCATTCATAAATCCCTTCATCTGCACCCTCAACATGGCAAATAAATAAACTTACAGTTAATCACAGACATCATGTCTATTAGTTTGCAGGTTAAATATTCAACACCAATTCCTCACCCAACAAAGTATTTCTGTGGTATTGATGTATTCTAATTTAATGACAGAGGTTTTACCCTAGGTTTTGTTTTCTGTGATCATTTCAACAAAATGTTCTTCTGTTATTTTTTGAAGGGAGAATAAAAGTTATATATATATATATATATATATATATATATATATATATATACATACATATATATGATTTCTGTTGCTGATTTTTTTTTATTTTAAAAGAAATTTGTAATTTGTTTTTGAAAAGCATTTCTGATGTACCTCACTAAAACTGAGCCTTTACATATACTTTAAGTGCCAGCGATAGCCAGCCTAGCGAAGAGGAGATATCAAGGAGATGTGTATTGTTCCTCGCTATCCCTTCCAACTTCACAGTGTCAATTTCACAGTGCGACTCCCTTCAGAGAACTCAGAGGTGACCAGGCCAACAAGCTCTGGGAGGGAGCTCAGGTTAGTTACTTGTGTATGAGATAAGCTGGGAGATCTACTCAGAGATGGTTCGAATTTCTCAGTGAAAGAAATTTGATCAAATGTGTGGGAATGGTTCAGTCTGTAAAAGCAAACACCAAATGCACCACAGTGATAAGAAAAAGTATTTGTTGATTTAAATACAAAAGGTCAACATTCCTGTCTCCTTTCCTATAAGCTTTGGCTTTTAACTACTTTAAGTTTTGGCCTGCCTCTCACACACAGGTATCAGGCTTCGGTGGGGAGCTTCTGGTTTGGCTTGTGAAGGTCTGGGGGGCGGGGGAGGGAGATACCCAAGAGCTTTTCTCCAAGACTGAAGCTATAGACTGTGAAAACACTACTAACACAACTGAAGAAGAAACTGTTGTCTAAAATTACTTGAATAGAGTGGGGTAAAGAACTATCCAAACGAGGAGCTTAAAAAGGAAACTGCTGAAATAGGATTTTGAAAGAAAAGGACACATTAATTACAGACAGTTGTCGGCAGGATGAAAACTGACTGGGTGGTATGAAGGAAGGGTGTCAGGCTTAACCCATGTTTGCTTTTTGGGAAAAAAAAGAAACCCAAACCCAAAAAGTGGTAGCCTAAATAAATTCTAATTTAAGTTTGGATTGTAAAGAACAAGTTACTTTGTAAAAGGCCTCACCTGAGACATTAACTTGCACTACCCTTTTTAATTGTTTAAGTCATTTTCCTATTGCAGACTGGACTTGAATGTTTAAAATGGGGCTAACAGAAATGGTGGGACAAAGGGTGAACCGATTCACCAGTTAGAAATGAACTATACAATTTGGGTGGGGGGGAAGTTGGGAGGGAAAATACTGGGAGGGAATGAGGGAGAGGGTGACACTATTCAAAAGGAAATGTATTCATTACCTGAATCATGTAACTGCAACCCCTCTATACATCACCTTTCCAATAAAATTTAAAAACAAAAAATGGTGCTGAGGGAGGAGGTGGGGGAGGTGGGGAGGAAAGGAATGGTAGGGGGAAAACAAAGGAGGGGATAACAATGCTGGATTGGAAATGGACTCATGCATGACCTTACTCATCTAACTGTAACCCTTCTGTACAATATCTCTACAAACTTTAAAAGTTTCATGGAGTTTCCTGTCTGGGCTGGCTTTTGTTAGTCTATTCTTATATCCACCTGATATTTGATCCTAACTATATAACACATTTTAATAAATTCAGTATAAGTTTAAAAAATGGTGCTGATATTCTTATGAAATGAAATGTACCTGTAAGGCAGAATACTGGATTCCCAGGGTTTGAGAGGACCTGGGAATTATCCTTCCTTAACCCCTGTAAGGCATATGCTGGGTCTTTACTCTATGTAAGCAGATGGGCCATGTATGGACAGTGAAAGCCCTAACATCATGAAGGGTGTGAAGAAAACCCAGCCAGGTTCTGGGAAGCCCAGGGGATTTCCTTAAAGATGGAGCTGATAGAAGTGGGTCGGAAGACATTCGGTTGAATGGTGGGAGGGAAAGGTCCCAGAGGACTTTATACTTCCAGGCTGCATGGTATGCATGGCACCAACTTCATCTCTACATTGTGAAGAAGATTTGGAAACTTTTCTAGTAGGTGTTGAGAATGGGGTAGAGACCAAATGGTAAGAAGAAATTAAAGTGTCCTAAAGGATACAAAGGTGAGAAAGGTGTTCACAAGCCAGTTACTATTACCAGGTTCTTTCTCTAAAGGACTAGGTGAGAATTCACAATAACTAAAAAGTGGAAGCAGTTAAACTGCTCACCAATGAACTGGATGTGGTATAGACATGCAAAGCAATATTATGGGGCTATAGAAAGGAAAGAAATTCTGTCATGTGATAGAATATGACATTATGCTAAATTATATAATCCAAGCCCAAAAGAAAACTACTGCCTGATCCCATTTTAGTGAGGTTATCTCAAGTCGTTAAATCATAAAGACAGAAAGCAAACTGGTTTCTAAGACTTGTGGGGAAAAGGAATGGAGAGAGTAGTACATGCTGAGTTAGAGTTTTCCAAGATTAAGAGTTTTAAATACTGATTGCATAGCCATGTGTAACTATTTAACACTATACTAAACCTATAGACAGGTAAGAACATAAACTTGGTTATGTATATTTTACAATAATTCTTTTCTATAGAAGCATGCAGGAGAGAGCAAAGGCATGAATGGATAGAAGAGCATTTAGTGAAGACAAAGGAGTCAGTTGGCTTTGCAATTAATTAAGTATTGAAGCCAGGTATTGAAAGAGCTGTGGTTTTGTTTTCCTTCTGCTGGACCAAAGGGGCATGAAATAATTTATGACATTCTGAGGAGCTGATCTGAAAGCAGGAAAATGATCTCTTCTCACTGCTTGGCTGGGTGACCTCAAGCCACTCATTTAATTTCACTCAGCTCAGTTTCTTCATCTCACCACGAAAATCAGTCCCAACATTGAGGAAATCTGGACCACAATGGTTGTGGTCATCATTACCGGGCACCTACCAAGCATTGTTTGCAGTGGTTATTGCTTGTTTTGTTAGCAGTCCTGTGGTTTGAACTCAGTGGCTTGCACTTGCCCAGCAGGTGCTCTATTACTCGAGCTACAACTTTAGTCATGTTTGCTTTTGCTAACTGGTAGCTAGCATCTTACACTTTTTTCCCTAGGCTAGGCTCCAGCTATGATCTTCCTACTAACATGTCTCGTGTAGCTGGGATGACAGGCATTTCCCACCATGTCTGGCCTGCCAATGATTGATTTTAAGGAAGTGAAGCCCAAGGTTCTGTCTTCTCAACTTCCAAATGACCCTCATTTGGTCCAGGTAAGAGGGGTTCAGAGAAGACCAGAGGCAGGCCTCTCTGTCATGTTTCTCCTGTATCCAAGCATCTGACCACTTGATTCTGAGACAGTGAAGAGACGTACTCTGAAGACCATAAAAGGGCTGTTGTCTTTTGAAGAGCAGAAATTGACATGTTAGGGTATCAGAACTGAGCTTGGGGCTTAAGGGGATTCCCTCTTCTTCCATGGTATGTGAGGAATTATGACAAGAAAGAGCCGTTAGGC